GCAGGAATAGTTCCTCATTCCCACTTGCATGCACACATGGAATCACATCCCTGCTTTTCCCCTCATTCCCTGAAAGTAGTTTCTCTAATGAAACAAACTTCAGAAAGACTTAAATAGCCAGCCTGAAGTAGCTTTGTTTGACTACTATTCTGAAGAATGCTATAAGGTAGTTCATTACTCAGATTTTAATGAAATTTGGACATTTCTTCATTTCTGCCAACAAAATAGAATCACAGTTCTAGGGGCTCCCATCCCAAACTTGCCATGAATTAAGTCTTACCAGTCAATCACTTGTACCACCTGCTGAAATCTGCTTTCCCCTTGTACATTTCTCTCCTGACCAGATATCTTTAGCAGGCAGAACATCACTAAGTGCTAAATATGCACAGCATTACACTTCCCAGAGTTAAGAAGCTGCTTAAGGTACTCAGCACCTGGTGAGACAGTGCTTTAATTAGTATCCATCCTATAATAAACAGAATTAAGAAATCTTCTTCCTGACAGTCATTAGCCTGATGTAGAAAACACTGTAGGAGTCCAGAAGATCTCTAAATTCCCCCTCTGATCGTTGGCCAAGAGTACATATTAAATGCAAATAAAATAAAATCCCCAAACCAGAACCTATTCTTCCACTATTCACAACCTGAGGGGCTAACAGAGAGTCCCTCAGTCGCCAAAGTGCTGACAAAAGCAACTGGGATATGGAGGGTCAGGAGAGCGACCGCAACAGGCGATTAAGCAAGCAATCAAGGAATCATGGTTTGATCAATTTGCAAAGTTCTCAAACTGCAGTTCCCTTAGTAAATTTGCTGTCATCATCATTACAGGACACTTCATCTTGTCTCATTAGGGAATATGCCAATTGCTTCCCCTGAACTGTTTGCTGAGTATTTTTGAAGACAAAGGATGGTGCAAGGGGCAGAGAGATAAAAGTAGTATGTTGTCAGTGAACTGGCACAGCTAGAAACTCATTCTTCATCACAAACTTTTTCTTACTAAGTGTTTTGCTTCTTCTTGAGTGTCATTTTGGCTGGAGCCCAGATCTACTTTTTTCCAAATTAATAAGGAAAGATGTGAAGATTCAGCCATTAATAATGTGGGCAGATGCAAACAGAGATGATATACTCACCTTTAGATGGCCCCTTTGTCACTGCAACTTTGGGAAAAAAAGGCTGTATAGAGCTAGAAATCAGGCTAGGGTTGCTCAACTGGTATAAATCTGAAAGGATGCACAAGCTTCAGTGAAACTACAGTTATGTCTGCCAGAAGAAAATCCATTCTGGTATGTTTTCCTTTTGGTCATATGAGAATTCCAGCAGTAAATACTAGGGAGTAGTAGAAGAAGTGGGAAAAGGCTATAAACCTCGAGCTCTAGCACATAAAACATATTCTAACTACCATGACTTAGAGAAAAGCTGTTCTGGTGGACAGTTTATTCAGTAGCTGCATGCTGAAAGTTTCACGTCTGTATCTTAAGCATTTGGTACTGCATACAAATAGTATTTGTTTTCCAGTCACTGACAGATGCCCCCACAGACATTTCAAGCGCACCATCCATTCCAAGCTCTGCTCAACATCTTTGCAGGCTGAGCTGATTGCTTGTTTCAGAATAAAGTTATGCAATTCCATTTGCTGAAAAAGGCCCTATCACTCCAGTGACAACAACTTGAAGCTGTCTTTATGGTTCAATGAAAGACAAGATCTCTTTGCAATAATTCTTCTCTTTATGCAATCAGAAATATCATACAAAAGTAAAAACGTGACTGTTAAGACCCCAGAGCCTTAACTTTGAAAACTGCCTTCATTTTTATGTTCTGTTTTGTGCCAGAATTCTTTGATGTAGACGGATATGTGGTTGTTTTGGGAACAGTAGGAAACCATTATTGTAGTTGTCATTAAAGAGTCACCAACCATTTATGCATGTAATAGGGCCTCACTTTCAAAAAGCAAGCACCAAGTGTAATTATGGAACTGTTGATAAATGCATACATTTTAATGTCAAACAACATTTGCAGTCATTACACCTTTTTAATAAAGAGAGGTATTCATCAGTTCATTCAGAGTAGAACCCATCAACAATTTTCAAGCATTATTTTTAAATTAAAAAAAAAAAACACAAACAAAAAATAGTGATTTTATTCCTTTCTGTGAAGCATTTTAATAGTGTTTATACTTTCACTCCTTCCAAGTTTGTTTTCAAATTTTAAAATGTTCACCAAAACAACAAAAATAATGTTCTTTATAGGCTGCTCATGCAAAGCTTTGTTTCTCATTAAAATGCTTAATCAAGGACTTTTTGAAAGCGTAATTTCAAAAATGAAACCTCTAAGTTGTCTTTTGTCTCAAAGAAGCAAGATCAGTTTTCCTTGTTTAACACTCCCACACTTCTTTTGGACTAATTTTGACTTATACCAGCCATTGAAGATAAAATGATAGTTTCCAGCAACATTTGTTTCACTGAGCCAGAACCACTGAAAAATCACAGTTTATGACTTTCAGCCCCTGCTGTGTTTCCCCATGCCCTTTTGGGAACAAGCTGCACTGCCATGCAGCAATAGCACTGCAGTTCCGGCCACCAAGTTCCTGCAGGCAGTCAGGACGAAGCTGTTTGCTTCATGGAGTTGCATTATGCTAGTGCTCGATGGAAAAAGATGTCAGCAGCACACATGAACCCATGCTATTCCCCTGCAAGTATGGCTTGGACCTTACAGTCTGGTATGGCAGGTAAAAGTATTAGGCTAAACTACAGCACAAGGCAAAAACCAAAGTGTAAAAGGTGTCAGAGGGGCAGATTTTGGCTGATGGGCTATTGCTGGTAACAATGGCTATTCCAGGAAGACGAAACAAGAAACAGCTTGACTCCAAGGTCCCAGATTTAGTAAGGGAAACTGGACATCAGAAATATCTGTTTTACTTGGTCACAAAAAGACTGGATGTCTTTTATTGTCTTTTTTTTTTTCTCTCTTTTTTTCCCCAGAATCACTTATAAGCTATAACAGTAGACCCTGTGCTGACATTTTTGCAGTGCTCTTTAACGAATTTTTTTAAAGGCTACTGCTGTGTTTCACAAAGAAATTTAAAATTCTCCCAGAGCTAGCTACTGAAACTGATGCAGCCTGAGAGCCTCGTTCTTCATACCAAGAGCTGCTTCCGTAAGTACCATACGTGCTCTTGCCTACCTGCTAGGATGAGCGGTGCTGATGGTGTTCAGGCATGCACAATACTGACAGAGTTCAAGATTCTATCTCCCAACCCCTTATAATCCTCTGTGAAACACATATAACCAATTTCTCCCTCAGGTGTCTCTTTCAGCCTTAAGTATCTCAAATTAAACTAGCTTTTCAGATCAACAACTCATCCCATCAGAGCATTCATTTTGAACACTGCTTTACTCACTTATCATAATGGCCATCTTTTCCT